TCCCTCCCTCCCCTCCCTCCCTCCCTCTCCTCACCGCACACACTCCCCTCCCCTCCTCTGCTGTTCCTCCTCCTCTCTCCTCCATCGCTCCTGCCGCTGTTGCCTCTGCCCCTCCTCCCCGTCGACCTTGTCCGTCAGAGCTCTGAGAGCGTCAGCTACTCTTCATCCGCGACCTCCGTCACCGCCGATTTCCATGTCAGCTCTCTCCCTCTCCTCGCATCTTTCTCTCCCTCATCAGACCTCCCAGCAGCACCCCAGCACAAGTCCTGGCTACCTCTCCAGCTGCTGGGCACATGCCTCCATCTCGCTCCTCTTTCTCACACCCTACCTCATGCTTGGATGGGTTGGAACCCCTCGCATGCCCACTATCATATCTTTTGAATGACAGAGAAAGAAAAGGCAAACTGGAGCAAACATGCAAGAGGAGGATAAACCCTACAAATCCGCCTCAACAAGACACCAGGAAACGGAGGAGGCAGCAATAACCGCTAATCCAACCACGCAAGCGACGGCATGCACGGCAAGCAGGGGAACAAGGATCAGGACAAAGAGCAGTAGCGCAAGGCTCCTGTTTAGTTTTGAACTGTCAACCACTTGTTCCATCGATGCATTCATGCGGTTGCAATGCTATGCTGATTGGATGCGGATGCGAAGGTTGCGTTGCACTCATATGAGGTTCCAGCATCCGGCATATTGCATTAGAGAGACTGCTGCAATATGCCTGATGCTGTGAATGCAGAACATCAACAACATGAAACGTACAGTATGAAATCTTCCTCACCGACGGCTGCTCATTTTGTGAGCATCGTGTCCTGGGTTTCGCGCCGTGCGTGCAAAATGCAACATGTCCTCGTTGAACACACAACAGGAAAGCTTTCAGGAACACAATCTTGTTGCCCAAGTGATTGTTCAACAATCGGAGGGTGAGCTCATGTGTGCAGGCTGGCATGAATCTATGCTGGCAGGATGATAGTTCATGTTATGTTGTCAACAAGGAAGAGGAGGATAAACCCTACAAACCCGCCTCAATAAAAACACCAGGAAACGGAGGAGGCAGCAAAACCGCTACTCCAACCACGCAAGCGACGTATATAGTAGTAGTATCGGAGGACGTGGCCCTGCCATGGAAGTTTGTGGTTTGAAATATTGTGCAACAATAAAATTGACAAAAAACCAATGGAAAAGTATTGAACCTAATTCGAATCCTACTTATTAAGATCCCATAGCACTGCTCACGTCGGCTTTTACCGGAGCAGTTTAAGTAAAACTTTAGTACCTACAACGTGCTGAGACCTGTACACCGGAAGCCTGGGGGTGACCCGTCCTGCTGACCGTTACAGGGGTGGGAGGGCCAGGGGTAGTGAAAAAAAATACTAGTCCGTCTGGTAGCCCAGTCGGACCGGTTCTTTGCAGCTACTCGGTACGGGTCCTCAGCCTTCCGCCGAACAGCCGACCAATTTTTTTAACAAGATAGCAATTCCGATGATCAGGGTGGGTGCCAGAGAGGCTGTACGCCATGGCTGTTGGGCAGCAGGTTGTTGACGTTGCTTGCAAGGTTATGATGATGGAGATGATGATGGAGATGATGATTATGATGATGATGGAGATGATGATGGAGATGATGATGATGATGATGATGATGATGATGATGATGATGATGATGGAGATGATGATGATGGAAATTATGAAGGAGATATTGACATGATGATGATGGAGATGATGATCATGATGATGATGATGGTAAAGGCGTGTGTAACTGTTCGACAGGTGGTGGTGTTGATTCTCCTACTCATGAGCACGGCTTCTCTCGCCGCTGTGTCCACTCTACATGGGATGAAGTACACAGTCGCTGAGACGGCTCAGCTGCACATGGAAGGAGGCATCACCGATCTGAAAGCGACCGACATGAAGATCTATTGGGGTTCTCTGGGAGCTTGGAGTGAAGGGAATGACATCCTGACATCCGACTCTGTCATCGAAGTCTACCTCCCGCGGTTTTCAGGTGGATCGAACCTGTTCGGTGCATACCGGTCTGGCGGTGCCGAAACGAATGTCCAGTGGATGAAGCAGAGTCAAGTCGTTACCATATCTGAAAGCCTATCCAAGACGTGGGCAACCGTTCCATCTCCTGTTTCCAACCAAGCCGCATCCGGAAACGGTCCTGGGGCCGGGGGATGCTTCGGAATAACACAAGACCTCTCGTCCAACGCGTTCGATCTCAAGCAGATACGTGCAGATTCCTTCTCCATGTGCCACTGGGACTCACAGAAAGAGACGCTCCGTCTGCTGGTGTCTTCGTCGCGTCGCATCACCGGTGTATACATCAGCAAGGTGTCGCTCTTTCAGAACTATGACGCTCATGGCAAGCAGAACGGTCTCGGTCCCTTGCCACCGATAGGAGGGATTGACGAGCAGTGGTATCAGTTGGCGCATGTTGCCATCTATCAAGCCTCTGGCTCTCTGAGAGGCTGCGCCGTCAGCTCTATCAGCGACTTCCCGTCGACGTCATGCGCAAGCGATCTCCTGGTGTATCAAGTTCCCTTCGATCAGTATCGATCTGTCAGGTTTGGGACGGACCTTCCTCCAATCCCCACACGAAAGGGAGCTGGAGGCGTCGGCACAGTAGCGCCTCCATCCTTCGTCTATGCCGCAGCGTCTGGAAACAACGATGGGCCGAATCAAGCCGTGTGTATCACCGTCACGTTAGTCAGCTCCTCCACCATCTACTCCGTCGCTGCCAACCCGACCATGATCTCCCTGACTGGCCTGACGGGAAGCTTGTCGCCAAGTCAGTACATTCCGCTCTTCCAGAGCAAGTGTCAGTGCGAGGGGTCGAGCACAGCACAGGAGCTCATGCCTCCGAGGTTTCGAACCTCCACAAGCACGCAGGCTGTTGGTCAGGCAGAGTTCCATGCCGAGGGGACCTTGACGCTGCAGCTTATTCCGGGTCAGTACATTCAAGCGGGAGAGGTCGTGACTTTCTCCTTCAGTTTGAATACTGGTGGGAACCCCCAGACCTCCCGGGACTTGAGAGTTTCATTGTCGGGTCAAAGCTGTTCGACGAACGACTTCTGCACGTCATCCAGCTCTGTATCGGTTACGATCCCTCCTAGGAAGTTTGACTCCTCTTCCAAGATCTTGGAGGTAGTTGGCAACAAGTTGAGAGTGTCCATGTTTCAGAGCTCCAGCGATCCTGGCTCTATGACCAATGTCTTTGTAACCTTGCAACCCAACTTCAACGTTGAGGTTGGGTCGGTGATAAGCTTTCAAGGAGTCTGCGGCACACAAACGAACACTGCTTACGTAGCTCTGATGAGCAACAGGCTAAATGGTGGAACCCCGTTGACTGACAAGTGCACTGGAAACCCCAAGGAAGTCGACCTGGCAGACTACTGGCCCAGTACAAGGCTAGATTGGAGCATAGGAGGGCCTCTAAAATTGACTCTAGAGCACAGCCTCGGCCTCAATGCTCGAGGGACCTATGCCCTGTCCTGGTCATGGCAAAATGTCAACACGGCAAATTCGGCCTGCTCCCTAACGGTGACTGTGCACAAGGGAGGAAACGTCGTGAACGCTGAAGTAGTGGAGAACATCGGGAGTACGGTTGGCAACGTGGCTCCTCCTGGCTTCATCAAGTACAAGATAGGACAGACTACCACTCGCCCGGATACGACCAACTATATCTGTGTCACGCTCAGAA